CTGGGACACAGCACAGAAGTGTCCACTCCACCGCTTGAGAGGTGGTATTTATAGTAGGAGTATCCTGCAAGATAACTGTAGGGTGGAAAAGCGTGTAGACGGCGTAAGAAAATCACGAACACAGCAATACAATGCAGACAGGAACGGTGCAAGACGCCGTCAGGTGCTGGCTATGCGATTGTGGGAGCTGACGCCACTCGAGGTGTTGCCGACATGGAACGCCGTGCCCGCGCAGCCAGAGGACTGTGGCTATGAGCGCAGGCAGCCCTGCACGACTCCAACTTCTTAAAAGCGAGGGTCTCGCTTGCACCACGACGGACAGGAAGACTGCGTGGACCGCTCTGGTACAATGGTGCCACCGCCACAGCTCGCCAAGCATGCGAGTATGATGATGAGGCAGGAACGACGGCGGGCGTGGGGAAAGAGGCAGCCTTGATCCAAGATGCACAATTTGTGATTTGCATGTAATCACGTACACACGGTGGTGCTGGCCGCGTGCACACATGTGTAGCCCTGATTGGTATGGCGCTGCACCGGAGGTCCGATGACAAACGTAAACGATTGATGACGCCAATCTTGCTGGTCAGGCCGTCGAGGCGCGCACCCGAGCCGCAGCCACCTCTCCACGCTGCACCTTGGCCAACTTCGCATGCTTAGCAGCGCATTTCGCCACGGCAGCGTTCGCCATGGTCTGATCCACCATCTGCTGCACCTGTGCTCGCGTGCGACGGCGTAGGAACCTTCATCCTCGAGTCTGAGTGCCTGCCGTGAAGGGCCTCGTTCTTGCCGATCGATTAATCGCTCGACCGCAAGGAGGTGTGCTGCATGCTCTCCTACTGTAGCTGCACCTCGGCCCCCGTGCGCGTGCGCTGCGCTCATCTCCGTTCCTCGCGCGCGCGTAGAGCTGCGTCCGTTGCGCGTCGGCCAACGAGCGTGACCGTTGTGCCTGTTGTGCCTGCTCCTCGCTTTGCCACTCGCGCTGGCTTTTGAAGGAACATCACAAATGTGGGCACCTTGAACAATGTACAGAATCTACGATTCTGAGTCTTCCGCAGCAAAGCAAGGCATGGAAGGCATGCCAGATCTCAACAAAGCAGCGCACGCTCTCCCAACGAGATGTCCGACGCGCCTATGGGCACTTGTTCCCAAACTTGGCAAGCCTCATGAGAGAGCTAGCAGGCCATACCCGCTCGATGAGGCCAACTTCGTGGCTGCATTTCCGGTCCCACGTTTCAAGTCGCCTCGCATTGGGCCCAGTCTTGCGCGAAGACCGACTTAGGTGATCTTTGGGCTGCGCGATGCGCAAGCCGCCACTCTGCCTCTTGCCCCGCCCCCGCAGATAGAGTCACCGCCAGATTCCTGTCGAGATTTGCACCAAAACCATGACTCTCTGTGCGACTCACAGGTGAAGGATGCACTGCAAGAGGCCCTATCCTTATTGCAGTCGAGCCGCGACTACCGTTTCGCGCTAGCGGAGCCACCTTCCTTTTCTCGCTCCCTACCGAAGCTCGTCTCTAGCCTGTCGTCCTGAAGCACTGCACACACTCGCCAAGCGCGAAAGTAGTCGGAAGACGAGAAGGTCGCCTGTGACGGTCCAGGTCCAAATGTAGACAAGATGCCTTGCTCGCTTGACTGAAACAGAAATGCAAAGCTGTGCAAAGCGAGACAGTCTTTGCTGAGGGAAGGCTCTTAGTGGAAAGTGTCGCGTGTAGAAGTCCGACGTCCAACCGAGATTGAGACTGCCAGAATGGTGGCGTAGGAGAGCGAGCGATGCGGTCCATCCAAATGCGCGGAGTGAAGTGGGGGCCGCGCAACGAGCGGAGGTGTCTGGTGCCCCTTGGTCCGGCTGGCTGGCCGAATGGCTTCGGGGATCTCAGCACGGAGAGAAGCTCGCTGTGGTCATGACTGAAGATGAGCGTCAAGGCGTGACGAGTGGTGAAAGAAGCGAAACGGTAGAAGAAGTGAGACTGCCAGAAAGGTCGGGTGCTTTTCCTGAAGACTGTGTGGTATGCCTGTCGGCCACCAACGTTCGTGTCAGCGAAGTCTTGAGTCACGAGTGTACAGTAGTGTGAGTAGGTGACCAAGCAATCACGCCTTGCCGCGCGATCGCGCGACGTCTTGAGGGAAAGGGGGGAGGGGGCGGCATATCAGCTGTGTGCTGCATCTGCACTCGATCCGCATCTACATGCATGTACTCCCGCCTGCAGATGAAGAGGCACGAATCACGAATGGAGATCGACAGCAGCTGCGGGGCCAGCAGTCAGTCGCGGGTGTCAAAGTGGCTCAACAAACGGCATCCAAAGCTGCACGCTTCTCGACCGGCAGATGCACGCACCGCACGCACCCACCAGCCACGACTGGAGCGCACGTCAACCTTGCTCTTGCATTCCCTCGCCTTCTCTGCCATGGCCCAAGCTTGAGTCGCGACGGAGAACGCTCAAATAATTTCAACATTGTGATTCACATTTCGATGCAATGGGCTGTCTGTCATGTCAATCGGGCGCTCCCAACTGACACGTGCTTACAATCTTCGAAGAGCCGATCATCAGCTGAACACGTACAATTGTCATTTGATTAACATAGGAGAGATCGCTATACGTCACGAGCGCGAGCGCGCCCGGGACGACAGCCAGAGAGCACATACATACTACTGTACTTCTCTGACGAATCTTGCTCATGCAGTCAAAGTGCCATCAGTCCTGTTTTGTCTGCTTTGACCGACGAGCTGCGGTGTGGTGTGGATGGCCATGCATGCACACGCCCGGCAACAATCACGAAGGGGACGCTAAGAGGGACGCCAGAAGCCAAAGTTGCTTGTTTGTGCCTCACGCATCGTGACGTGAACAGCGCGTTGTGTCCCTTTTGACAATACGCTCCCATAGGGCTTTGCTGCCGCTCCTTTACAATCCAGGATGAAGATTTCACGATTGCTTGCTCACACACACAGTCGCCATCCACCACTTTGACTGCTGTGTACTTGATGGCTCAGATGCACCTTCAAGCCACTCTTTGACTGTGTGCCAGTATGACTGCAAGGAGGATCGATCGCTTTGTGGGATATGCCATCACAGCAGTCACCGCACCTGTCACCCGTTCACTCAGCGGGACTGCACCCATCATGCAGTCAATGAGTGTTGGCCCGAGACCGTGTCGAGCCACTGTTCTCCTGCAGACGGGACAGGTGCTGGCGAAGACCCTGACTAGAGTCCCAAGGTGCTTTGCCGCTACGGAAAATAAGCATCTCGACGTCATACACCTATGCAGCGGGCCTCCAGAATCTTGCATCGAGGGGCTCTAGGGCTACGCCAGCTCGCGCGACACGTGACAGCCAGACGGTGAAGCTGATCCATAGAGCGGTTCCAAAATCGTGATGTGTCATCCCCGCCCACCGACGAAGAGCTTGGCAAGAGCCAACTCGCGTCGATATCAGAGCATCAAGGTCAGTAGTGTCCTTGCCTCTGAATGTACAGCGCTCCTGCGACATCGAGACTTTTTCATTCGTGATTGCAAAGGCCTCGGCACAAAGGACGGCTCTGCGCCTCGAGAGAGATTCGCACGCCTGTCACGCATGGCGAGCCGGCGTCGCATGCAAGATGCTTGCTTGCGTTGACGGGACGAGGCGTGGGAGCCTCGTCTGCCACTTCGAATCGCCGGTGCGGTGGCCTCGTTTCTGACTTTGCGGTGCACAAGAGCTTCGACACGAGGTCTGCCACCCTCAACAAGCTCATTTCCTCATGTCATTGCTCCTTACAGCTCCTCGTGCGAATGACTAGACTTCTTGGCAGGCTCGCCTCTGGTCGCTTTCCTTGCGAAGATCTTCTCTAAAGCTGCATACGGACACGATTCAAGAGATGATCAGAGACGTGGATGCCGATCTGCATTCGAGAATGCGACTTACCAGTCTGAATATCGCCTTCAATCTTATCAGGCATGACAACCTGCAGGAATGGCCGGCAGAGGAATGAGCACGTGCCAAAGGGAAGCTCGCCATCGCATCAGACGTACCTGATACTCGACAAAGAGGTCGCCGTGGCCGTCGTCGTCTCGCTTTGGCATGCCCTCGCCCTTGATGGTCTGTGTCCAGCCTGGTTGCGTGACGGTCGTCCGCCGCAATGTCACGTTGTGGTCATCCATGTGGCGCAGCTGATGGTCGAAGCCCAAGAGTGCATCGGCCAAAGAGATTGGATATGTGGTGTATAGGTGATTATCCCTGCGGCGAAAGTCTCCCTTGTGGCGTACGGACCTACAAGATGCGGGCCCGAATGCTACGTGAGTCTTTGCAAAGCCAATCGGAGGCCTGCACATTGCGAGTATCAGGCTTCCCTTCTCACCTGAGCTTGAAAGAAACATCTCCGGGCTCAAAGTCGGGCCCTTCATCCGCGTCTCCTTCAAACACGATCTCTTCGCCTTCTCGCGCACCCGGCAGAATTTCCACATCTAGATCCACAGTCTCTACGGTTACCTTCTGACCGTTGCATCTAGAGCAGAGGTGCTGGATGACCTGCCCTTGCCCGCCGCATCGGTCGCATTGGACCTGCCAGGTGAAAAGGTGGACGTCAGGTCAGCGAGTTCCAAATCCTCTGCTGCACCTCAGTCCCACCGGCCACACCGCTCACCTGTGACCGCGTAACGAATCCAGGCATGATTTGCTGCTGCACCACCCGAATGCCTTGTCCACCGCAAGCCTCGCAAGAGTGGATGTCGCTCTTTTCCCTCGCACCGCTGCCATCGCAGGCTGCACAAATGACGTTCCTCTGATGCTGCACGCTAACCCTCCGTCCTCGATACATATCTTCCAGCCCCACCTCGAGATTGTAATTTCGATTTGGACCCCGTCGTGGGCCTTGCTGACCAAATGGTCCGCCACCTCCGCCAAAGAAGTTTCGGAAGACGTTCATCGGATCATTTCCGGCAGCTGAACCTGCTTGCTGCTGATGCCGCTTCACTCCATCCTCTCCGTACCGATCGTAGATCTTGCGCGTCTCGGGCTCCGACAAGATTTGATACGCCTCCGACAGCTCCACAAACTGAAAGCAATAAGACAAAGGCATGAGTAGACTGATTCAGCAGGTGCGAAGCGCGACCTACTGACCTGATCGCCCTTTTCCGGATGTTTGTCAGGGTGCAGCTTCTGAGCAAGTTTCTGTGAGGGCAACGAGGGAGCATTGAGCTTAGCCGTGCCGTCTATAGGAACACTGCCAGTAGTGCATGACGCACTCTGTACGCTCGCTTGATCGTCCGATCATCCGCTTGTCTATCTACCCCCATGATCTTGTAGTAGTCCTTGGCTGCTTCCACTGAGAGTGCAAACACCGCAATGAAGAGAATGGCTACGATTGCAAGGCTTTGCCAAGCACGTAGAGTAACATGGCGAGAGCGATGAGCCTCCAGGAGCCTCTGTTTGCCCCTTCCCTCTCTCTGGCGCAAGCTGAGGAGCTGCCTCGCCATCACGAGCTTCTATGTCGCACGACACGAGGTCAACGCACGTAATCCCTCGCCTAGGCAGTGCGTGTGGAACCTTGCGGCCGATGGACAGCACGTTTTGGCGAGATGAGCAGGAGAGGTGTCTGACTGACAGCTGTCGATGCTTGATCGCAAACAGCTCTTCAGGATTCAAGTATCGTGTTCGCAAGTTGAGGAGAGGAACAGGGATTTGTACACGTGGAAGGTTTGCAATCGCAGCAAGGTGCGTTCGCCTGCACGAATCACAATGTACCGCGCTTCTCTTCTACATATCGTGACTGCATGCATGGATGGTATCACGCCCGCGGCGATTCTTCGCAACTTTTGACGCGTGACTGCTGCATTGATGGTGACTTAACTAATTCAGATTCACATTCTGATTCAATTGTTCAACGCTCATATCATGCACAGCTAGCAATTTGAATCAAGGGGCGGCCAAAGTTGTGAGTCCGTGCACCCTCGAGCCTGCATGGTGGTCACGCGAGACGTGACGGCTCCGCCTGGTGAGACAGCCCCCGAGTCACGAGTTCCACCAGCACTTGTGACTCCATTGAGATTCAAGCTTCAGATTCACCTTGATACAGTACGTGCATGGTCCCTTCATCTAGATCGATATCAGATAGCAATCTTCGCGCAGTTCAAGGCCGTCGATTAGCGCGCGCTGCCCGAATTGGTCGAAGATCACCTCCACCGGGTTGCGATTGTTGAGCAGGGTAAACGGAGAATGACTTCGGGGTCTTCCTTACCACACATGGCCTCGAAACACGCCACCGCCATCCAACTTCGGCCCTCCTGTGCAATCAGTACATTGTACATTCCACGATAGCTTGCCGGCGACGCCATGACCAGACTGGAAAACCCACAACTACCTAGCGAGCTCATCTTGCTAGTCCTAGAGCACCTTTGCGGAGCACGACCTAGCTTGCTCAGTCGTACAGTGGTGCGGACGCTGCGATCTCTCTGCCTTGTCTCGCGCGAAGTGTATGGACTTGCACAGGCCCTGCTCTACAACACACTTCGACTCTGTGACGGTCACTCGGCCGCTCTGCTCACTCGCTCGCTGCGAGCTCGGCCACACTTGAAGCAAGCCATTCGTGCTGCGTGGTGGGGAAAAGTAGATCCGCTCGATCAGACCTGGCGAACGCCACCCGTTCACCAAGCAGCTTGGTACAGCATCAGTCGCATAGGCGGTCTACTTGTCGGTCATCACTATTGTACGAAGCCGGTAGGATCTTGGTGCACTGGCGAAGATCTGAGCACAGCGCTAGAGTGGAATGCTAGGCTCGAAGGCAGGGCTGATCAGCTCCGCGCTCCTTGGGCTTACCACCTTGTCGTCTGTACGCTCGAGAATTGGATGCCTCTTCTGCTACGCTCGGCCGAATGGTGCACCATCACTCATCTCACCATCACTCTCTATCCGTCCCTATGGATCGATCAAGATCTCTTCGAGCACGTACTCAGGACGCTTCTGTCACAGTCGGCTCTGCCGCTGCTTCAGCATCTCGTCTTGTTGGTGGGACACGACGGATTCGCGGTTGGCTCAAGGGTGAGAAGGATCGATCGGTCAAGAGCTATCGCAGCGGCTGCTTCCCGCATTGCGGATCCCCGTCTCAGAGTGCTTGGGGCGCCCACGCACTTTGGCACCGCTGGTCAGGGTCTGGCTGAGGATGTGGAAAAGTACACTCGTAGAGGGTGGGAGGCCAGAATCCGTGGAGAGAAGGGACCATGGATAGGTATGGACAGCATTGCCGCTTTCACACCACTTGCACATGAGAAGCATTGTAGCGATTCTCCCTAGCAAGTGACCGCAGTCAGGCAGGACCGCAAGTCAACAGTCGCTGCATCGCAAACTGCTACTTGCTACTCACATCAGCCAGCGTTCGTCGCCCCTTCCTCGAAGGCATCGCGAACCTCACCGCACCCTCATCAGAGCGAAGAGCATCTCCTTGCTGCTGTCAAAGCGATCGACAGCTGCCCGGCTGCATCTGGATGAAACACAAAACAAGCGTGAAGGCGCAGCTATCAATCAAAAAGTCAGGGACCGTGAATTGTACAGCAAGTACAAAAGGTCCGGGCGACGCGGCGGGTCGCTGCATGCTGCTGCAACATCGCTCGAACCGTCACGGCGGTCGCGCGGGTTCCGGACAGGCGCAACGATGAAACAGATCAAGAGATGGCAACGGCGCTGCGCCGCGCGATGGCACACATACATCACATCATCTTGCATGTGATTCAGCACGTTCAGATACAAAGGATTCACGATTGCATGGGCGCCGTGCACTATTTCATTTGAAGCAGCAGAATCAAATTTACCATTCTACTCAGGCTCAATTAACTCACCACTCATAACTCGAAATTCAAACTCTTGACTGGTGAAACAAGTCAAGTGTCCAGGAACAATCAAGAATGGCAAGCTAGCCATGCAGCTCCGTCTTGCATACATGCTTCTGCTTTACAAGATCTTGTAGTCAAAGATCTATATTGACTCAAGCCTTTAGACTCAAATACCCCAGACCGAATTCAGGAGCGAGATCAGACCCAGCTACAAACTGGCGGCCAATTACCCAAGAGGTATGGGGGGAAATGGTGGATTTTCTCCCCTTCTTTCTCCCACTTGAAGCCGTATCTCCCGCCCCTTCCTCTCCTTTTCGGGCGGTCAGCGGCCATGTCAACCCTTGGAATTGACCATTCTCCAGAAGAAACACTAAGCGATGATGAATGGGCCACATCGTTTCGAGTGGGCGTTTTGAGTGACTCGGAAAGTCAGACTTCCGTCTCGGAACGGAACGATCTCTCAGTCTCAAGCGCTGCAAGGCATCACACACCAACGCACGATCAAGGGCGCCAGTGCGCTCGGGTAAGTACAGGCACGTCACAAGAGAACGTCTTGCACAAATACTTGCTGAAGTAACGTCGATCCACAGACCGCATACATCCCGGACGAGGATGAGTCTGACGTCGTTTTCCGTGATACGCCATTGTAAGTATCGTCATTTGCATATTCCAAGCTGGGTGGTGATCTCTCGCTGAGGCTTGCGTGTAGCACTATCGCCGCTCGCAACGCTGCGAGCCGCAACACTCATATCAGTGCCCACAAAGACGGGAGTAAGAGCGACAACAGCTCGATGGTCGGAGAAGCCTCGAACCGTGTCTGTGTGCCCAACTCGAACCCAGACACGCCATTCAAAATGCCAGACGACGCCGACAGCTCATCGAGTCAGAACGGACCAAAAGCAGCTGGCTCTCCGGCCCCTCTCCAAGTTCAAAGACCCCAGGAATCAGCGCATACAAGCGGCTCCGCTGTTCGCGAACCAACGATCCCGGCCAAACGTCGCACGCTAGGCATTAGACCTATGGTTATGCCCATTAATCATTTCAAGCCTCCTCAAACGACTTTTGCCTTTACACGCCCATCGTTGAGACCACCGCCCATCCGACAAGAGCCTCCCGAACATGCATCGGACGACGCTTGTACGTCGCCGGACCCATCATCGCCGAATACCGTCGAGCCGTCGAGAGGTCCGCCCAAATTGGGTGCGGGCTTGCAGCGCGCACGCGTCGGATTAGCAAAAGGAAACATCAGCAAGGGTCAAGCGACGCAGGCAAAGCTTTGTTTCATACCCCCGCACGACAAGCATCAGATGGTCCAGGACGAAAGCAGTGTAGACCCGAAAGTCACCGCAGTCCCGTTTGACGACTACTCGGAGAGTATTCAGAGCGACGAAGAGTGGCTCGAAACCATGCAAGACGTCGAGGACGTCTTATCCTCGAGCAGAAGCCCGCCTGTCTGCTCTGAGCCACGTGCAACCTCAGCCTCGGCTATATCGACGTCTTCACTTCATGAGCTAGGTTCGACTGGGAATCGCCGGTTTCCCGCGGCAGGCGTCAAGAGGTCAGCCGTCGGGACACCGAAGCAACACTTCGGCTCGATGCTCCCCTTTGGTACACCTCACCTCCCAGCAGACCATGAAGCTCGTGGCGATGCTGCGCAGTATCGAGCTGCAGTCGTTGAAGTGCGCGAGCCCTCGAACCCGCGATACACTGCTGAGGAACGGGCAAGACATGGCTTCGAGTTGGCAGCCGCCAGCGGCTTCAAAGTTTACGAAGATCCTGTGCGGTATCCGCCTGCTCCTTGGAGCTCTGTAGAGCCGTCGCCCCGTCAAGACGACATTTTGTACACGAGTGCCGGGCAACTCCATCCGTCCATGGCACGATCATTTCCTCTGCCGAACAGCACTACCTCGCAACACGGTTGGAGTCCTGCACACGATCTTTCGTCACAAGGAGCCCCTCTTCCTACGCTGCTTGCGCACCAAGAGACGGTGCCCCACTCTCTATTTCATGACCATTTGACCCACGGCGAGCCTAACAGCAGCTCCTATTCTACCCAAGATGCTGACATTGTTGGACATCTACCTAACTATGACGCTACTGAGGACGATGGCTTGTCTGATACACATCCCGGCCAGGATGCTGTACAAGCAGGTCGCGTTTCTCGCCTGACTATCGAGGCTGGCACGGGATGGAACCAGGCTTCGCGCGCTTCATGCCTCCAGCCGCGCACTCACACTACGAAAAGCTACAACAGTCCTGCAGACAGCGCTCTGGCATTGCTGTCCTCTCCAAATCGTGAGTAGCTCGCCAAAAGTTGTTCTCGGCGCTAGATGGACCGATGACTTAGATCTTTCTACGCGCAGATCGCCGGGGGAGACGGACCTTGCCTATGCATCGAGACCGCGCTTCACCAGAGCTATCTGGTGCCAGCACCACTCGAAGCAAGCATCGTCTGCGTGATTTCCGTTATCGCGCGGCTGCTCACGACGAGCAACTCGCTAACGAGGCCTGGAGCGGAACTTTGTGGGCGAACAAGCTTGGTCGATCCCTTCAGCTGCGCCAACGCGAGCAATCGTCTCAGCGCTTACTTCCGAGCGTTGCTCAGCGCAAGGGCAGCGGAAACGGCGTTCCTCGCATGACGCCCCAAGGTCGTGCAAACGCAAGCAAGCGCCTGAGGCTGCCACTTTTCTCGAATCAAGCAAATGCTCTCCAAGGCCCAGCTCGCAGGCAGAGCGAGGCTACTGGTGCGCATCAGAGGTACGACACCGATGAAGACCCTAGCCGAGAAGATATAGCCATCTTTGACAGCTACACAGATCGCCATGCTAGCATTGGTGATGGTGACGAACAACAGCGCTTGACGCTCTTCGAACCTTCTCCCCCCGCCAAAAGAAGTCGCGCGTCCTGAAATCGTTGAAACTTGTCTTCGCGCGACGTGTTCCTCGTCGGCACAAGGACTGCACCACTCGCATATTCAAGCTTGTTGGCAGTGTTGTCTTGGTAATGACAACCACATGGCACTCAGAGTGACTGGTATTCTGAGAGTTTTTCCCCAGTGCCCTTCCTTCTTCGCGGCAGCAGGCTGATAGCCCCTTCCGCAGCGAGGCGGGCACCAGCTTCATTGGCGGGATTGCCCTTCCCTTCCGCTCGAGTGCAGACCTGACGCGAAGAAGATCAAGCATTGTGACTTGGTGAGGGCGAACCGAAGCTTGCGGGATCGCGATGACTTTTCAAAATAGTTACTTGCTGCAAGCTGGTCATCACGCTGTGGTTTCGCACGGAGCCATTGTTCAAAATCGGCAACTTCTCGCCCCTTATTGAGCATGAAAGCAGGCGTGCAGCCGATGTGCGCGGGAGCGTGGGAGCAGCTGCACGCGGCGGCCTGCCAGACCGTCCTACATTGCCAGGTACTTCTGCCCAAGTGCCTCGTTTCGTCATTCGTAGCACTTGCGCTAGTGTCCACAAGCGCAGAATTGGCCGCCGGCACGGCGAGTTGTGACGGCAATGCAAGCTGCACGCCATGCAACCGAGACCTCGGTTCAGAGATGAATGATGATTGCATCGATCGAGAGATCTGGCGCCTGCACGCTGATGTGGTCGACCGAGGCGGTATAGGCTTTGTGTGGAAAGATCCTCATGCTGAGGTCAGAAGCGTGGCCTGCGGAAGAGATGCGGCCCGTCGTCACGAGTCTCCGATGCGCGTGATTTCACGCTCGGGTCGTGTATAGGTAAGATCCGCTCTCGTACCCATCGCACAACACGGTGCCAGACCGAGCAAAATGCTCACTGAGACTCCACGCATTTGGCACAGGATGGGCGGCGGCGAGGGAACATGCACGTAGAGTTGCGAAAGTTCAAAGGGTGACGCGGAAGGAATTCAAGACTTTTCTCAATGACCGCCACCAAGCGTTGAAGCGGAAGAGGTGGCGGCAAGTCTGATTACGTTTTGTCTGAAGTGCGAGATCCCTTGCCGCGAGCTTTACAACCGTTGACTGATCCGATGAGCAAGTGATTGCGGTTGGGCCCTGCATTGAGGAAAGATTCTGCGACCGACAGGCCTGCATGAGCTCCTGCTGCAGAGGGGTGCTGATGCTGGACCTGCCCGCGCAACCCTTGCCATCCAAGCTCAACAAATGGGCTGCGTCGACAGCGCGCATGCTGGAAAGCTGTGTGGATGCTAGACCTGGCCAGGAGCATCGAATCGGCAGTCCCGAGCGCTGATCCCAGACGGACTGATCCCCTCGACGTGCATGGGCAAGGGTCAAGTGCGACCTGGGCGCATGTCTGCTCTAAGCAATGGGACAGCTATCAAGCCTCCTCCCGACTCGCAAGGTTTTTTGAACGCGCAATCGGTGGCACTTCAAGTCCAAGACTCATGCTATTTCGTTCAGGAGCACTGAGTGCGATTCAAAATTGCACATTCACGATTATGAAGTTCGCATACCAACGGATCGCTTATGATGACGCTCTCTCGTCGGTGCACGGGCGCGAGGTGGATGCATGCATGGTGCAGACACGCAGACAGATGAGCCTTGGGCTACTGCGCAATTGAAGCAACTGGCTGTCAATCTGTCTCTGCTTCGCTGCTATACTCCCTGCTGCTGAGTGCTGATGGGATGGGCCGTTTGGACGAGGCAGATTTGAGGACTAATTGCCCACATACAACAGGCAAAGGAACGATAGCTCTTGGTCATGACTGCAGGAGCAGAATTTAAGAGAGTGACGAATTGCCTGCCGCGCTTGCGCTGGGCAGATGGCGGATGGCGAACGCGCGCGCGCGCGCGCGGCGCAAGGCGTCGTTGAACCGTTTCAAACGATCCAAGATCCAAAGCAGCACATCGATCCCCGCCTGGCGCAGCATTCGGTCGAGGAAAGGTCGATCAAAGCACTCGACTCGTGACTGGCGAGCGGCCTGAGGTCGGATGGTGTAGCGGTGTGTGTGT